TGCAGAGCAGTTCTTTTGCACCCTTAATTGATTATTTTTATATTTGGTTCATTCATTCTAGTTGTTGCTTTATGCCTTATGCATTCTGTCACAACCACTCCATCCTACCTAGACACTTTTTTTTATTGGTTGTTCAAAACATTACAAAGCTCTAGACATATCATATTTCATACATTATATTCAAGTGGGTTCTTAACTCCCATTTTTACCCCAAATACAGATTGCAGAATCACTTCGGTTACACATCCACATTTTTACATAATACCATATTAGTAACTGTTGTATTCTGCTACCTTTCCTATCCTCTACTATCCCCCCTCCCCTCCCCTCCCATCTTCTCTTTCTACCCCATCTACTGTAATTCATTTCCCTCCTTGTTTATTTTCCCATTCCCCTCACAACCTCTTATACGTAATTTTGTATAACAATGAGGGTCTCCCTCATTTCCATGCAATTTCCCTTTTCTCTCCCTTTCCCTCCCACCTCAATTTAATTTATTTTATTATGTAACAACAGATTTTGGTCCCTGCATTCACTGGAAGAATAACTTTTCCTGGAAAAATAAAAAACACACCTTTAGTTACTTCTAGGTGCAAGAAAATCAAGACAGTCTTTCTATTTAAAATATTTTTTTCCTTTGGCATATTTTCTCAATAACAGATTATATTTTTAGATGTGAATACACCAAAGAACTAGAAACTCCTAAAAATATTGACTGTGTTGTCCAGATTTCACTTGTTTTGTGTAGGAACCTGTGTTCTTAAAATGCAGCTAAAATATTGACTTCATGTTATATTCAAGAATCTGGTCATTGAGACCATAATTCCCAGTGAAGACATGCCAATCAAAAAACGCAATGAAACAATGACAAATGTTTTATTATTCAAGATGAACTTCAGATAAAAGGAGTAAATTGTTAATAATTCTTGTTTTTGAATCGACAGTATTTGAGATATATCAGGCGAAGGAAGACCACTAAGTTTCTAGGCTAACAGATTTGTGATGCATGCACTTTTTTCTATCAAAATAAAAAAAAAAGTGGGGAGGGAATTTTAGGACACCCTTAGGCTTCATAACCTATTGGGAAATATCATATCTTATTCCAGAAAAGATTCAAGATGACTTACTTAAACAAAAACTAAAAATTGCATTTTACATTGAAGAATAGAAGATATTAGGGCACTAAAAGAATAAAAATAATTAGAGTAAGATAGAGATAAGGTAAGGCTTACTATAAAAGTCAATATAATTAAGCCAAGCAAAATTTTAACAACCATGACGCTTTATTCAGACAAATAAAATACAGATTGTACTCATTTTTTCTCTACCATTTTTTAAGGTAATTGCTGAGCCAATCAATGAAAGTGATTCAAGAAAAAATGGTTCATTTCATAAAGTTTGAAAAAAGGGAAGCCTAAGTAGATTAGAAGTGGTCTTAATGATTACTTCTGACTTTATAATTTTATGACCCATGCCAAATCTAAATGCAAATTAGAGTTGGAATTAGCACCTGTGAGATGTGCTAGGAAGAAGGTCCTTCTGTTTCATCTAGCATTCTTCTATTATAAAACYGCCTTTTCCCCAGAGCTGGTCAATTGATAATCTATTAGATCAGGAATCTGCAAATATTTTCTGCAAAGGCCTCTTAGTAAATATATTGGATGTTGAGGGTCATATGATTTTTTCAGAGCCACTCAACTCTGCCATCAAAAACAGCCATAAACATTACATGAAAGAATGAGTATGAATATACTTCAGTTAAACACTATTTACAAAGACGGGAACTGGCAGGACTCATTCCACAGGCATAGTAGGCCAACCCTTGCTTTAGACTAAGACAGGCCTTCACAAACTTTCCATCATACATCCAGCTGAGATGCCCAAGAACTACTTCAAAGTGTCTTCGAATTCCTGTTTTATCTTTAAAATTCATTATACTTGTGCATTGTACTTTATAAGAGCAAAATTAAATAACAACACACAAATATTTCACATAATGTTATAAAACTAAAATACTTCCCATTGGTATAGTTAAGGATTTGGGTTTTCCCAAAGAGAGGTCTGCCCTTGCTCTCAGCTCTGGGAGGTAGTCTATGTCATACCTTGTTAGGTGGATCTTTGCTTAAGGGAGGAGCTATTCTGACCAGAAAGAATGACCATGTGGCTCAGTGAGGGGACTTTGGGTCACTCATTACCAGTCAACCTAGATATTGAGTTCAATTGTGTTGGCAATCAAGCAGTCACACCTACATAATGAAACCCCAATAAAAAACCCTAAGCATGGAAATTAAGGTGAGCTTCCCTGGTTAGCAGTACTTCATGGGTATTTCCACATAGCATTCCAGAAGGATAACTCATCAGAGCTCCACAGAAGCTTCACATTGGAATCATCTTAAACTACACTGTATGTATCTTTCTTTGGTTCAGTTTAATGTGTGTGTTCTTTCTCTACAGTAAGCAATAATGACTGGTAAAATAACTTTCAGAGTGTTCTGTGAATCCTTCTTGTGAATTATTGAACCTGAGAGTGGCCAAGGGAACCCACACACTAGCAGTTAGGTGTCAGAAGAGAGGACCATTTCCTGGAGGACTGAACCCTCAAACATTGCAGTACAGCTAACTCCAGATTCTACTGTATTTATCTTGTGTTTTATTCTGTCTCCTTGGGAGTTAACAAAGCCTAGTTGAGAGTAGGAGATTAAGGGAATTAATATCTCTGGTAAATGCATATCTGTGGTTTAGAAAGATGATGCCCATTACCAGGTTAGCACTGCTACTTATTAACCTGAATCACACCATTGGAGGGCTCTGTGTTTATTGACCCTACGCTGCCAATTTCAATTGCTTCAATGAACCTCTGACAAGTCCACAGCTATAGGTCCTAAGAACTCACTCGTTCATTTACAATCATTTCAGATATATCTTAATAATGCAATTAAACATTTTAATATGAACCTACATTTTGATGAAGTTACTAAAAATATTAACAGTTCAGCCCACATCTATATATAACTCTACCCTGAATTAGTAACAGACTCCCTGTATTCTGAAATCTTCAGACCCACTTGACATATCAAATTCAATTTTGCACATCATATTTTAAGGTGGTTATAATAAAGTGTACTGAAGACAGTTGTGTGGAGAGTGAGTAAATTTTTTAAATGTGTCTAAAAGCAATTGAAAAGATTGGGAACAGTTAAAATAAAAAATGTGTGTGAATAATAATACCTGTCAGCAATAAACAAAGGATGTTTTTTGTGAGAAAGGAAATTTATTTCTTTTATTACTCCACCGATAAATGGAAGAATAAAGATGAATAATTGCAAATGAAAGAAATTTTCATCTTGAATCAGTTGTTGAAATATTTTTTAACCATCTAGAGCCTTCCAACAATGGAATGGGTGGCTTTATAAATCTCTGCTCTTTTCATCATCAAAGGTATTCAAGCAGAGTCTGAATCATCCATTCTATGATTCATTTACTTAATAAATATTCATAAAGATTTATTATACTTAAGGCACTCTGCTGAGACTATGGAAGAAGCAAATATCGATCAGACTGAATTCTTCTCAGATAGTGGAGTTAAGACTTGAACTAAATAATCAGAATACAAAGTAGAAAAGGAAATGTGTCCTAGGAAAAGTATAAATAAAGTTGTACAGGAATGCAGAAGAGGGAGACATGATTTCCAGATCACAAATGCTGGAGTATTCTTATCTTTCACCCCACAATCCATTCTCTGCAGAAAATTAGGAAATCATTTCATATCAGGGGATTAACACTCTTGGATAGTCATCCAAGGAATAGGGTAAATGCAGAATCTTTATACTGGTTTCTAAGGTCAGATGTAATCTACCTTCTGCCTACATCCCCCATGCCCAGCCACAGAATCTTTCTGCATCCAGAACACACCACACTCCTTCCTCCTAAGAAGTTTCCATTTGTCAGTTCATCTGCTGAATACTCTACTTCCACATCTAGTTGTGGTTGGCAATTCTTTATTCTGTTTTCAGCCTCCATGATATTTCTCTCATGAGGCTATCTTGACTACCTTATCTAAATTAGCTGAAGTTAAAATCTCTCTATAGCTATCATCATTTTATTTTCTTCCGAGTATGACCAAGATCTGAAATTGTTTTTTGTTGTTCATTTATTTTTAAGTTACTCTTCCAACTAGAATGTTACAAGAGTAAGGATCTGTCTCTCTGGTTGGCTGCTGTTTCTCTAGCATCTGGATTATGCCCAGCACAGTAGGTATAAAATGAGCATTTATTAAGGCTGACTGAATAAAGAATTTTTTACACAAGGTCAGAACTCTGACAAGAATCTTTAATTCCTTCTAATTCTTACATTTTGTGATATCATTTCTCAATCATTCTTCTCAGCTAGGTCACCATTTTATTACTCCTAGGACTTTGGTCATTGCTTTCCTCTTGCTCTATAAACATTCTCTCCAATCTTCAGGCTCCAATGAATATGTATCCTTAGTTGTTTCTTTACTAACTCTTTCTGAATCATGATTGACTTTTCTTTTTATAAATTCTTAAAATTTCTACTAATTCATCATATCTTTTCCACATATTACTTTGATATTACTTTGTCTTGACTTCTTTTTTAAATTTTTATTTATATATTTACTCTAATTAGGTATATATGACAGCAGAATGCATTTTGATTCATTGTACACAATCGCAACACAACTTTTCATTTCTCTGGTTGTACATGATGTAGCATCACACCATATGTGCAGTTATACATGTATTTGGGGTAATGATGTCCATCTCATTCCACCATCTCTCCTGCCCCATGCCCCCTCCCCTCTGATCCCCTCCTTCCCCTTTGCCCAATCAAAGTTTCTCCATTCTTCCCATGCCCCCCACCATTATGGATCAGCATCCACTTATCAGAGAGAACATTTGGCCTTTGTGTTTTTGGGATTGGCTTACTTCACTTAGTGTGACATTCTCCAACTCCATTCATTTACCTGCAAATGCTATAAAAAAAATATGGAACACTTCACAAATTTGCACTTCATCCTTGTACAGGGGCCATGCTAATCTTCTCTATATCATTCCAATTTTAGTGTTTGTGCTGCCAAAGCAAGCACTGTAGTAACTTCTTGACAGACATTAGAGTACCTATGATAGTGCATGATAGTGCTAGCCAACTAAAATTTGATGTAAACTACATATGTAATTTTCTAGTAGCCACAGAGTTAATAAGAAACTGGTGAGATTAATTGTAGTTATATATATATAACTACAATTAATATATATATATATATATATATATTGTGGGAGGGGGGACCAGGGATTGAACTCAGAGGCATTCAACCACTGAGCTACATCCCCAGCCTTATTTTTTGTATTTTATTTAGAGTCAGGGTCTCACTAAGTTGCTTAACACCTCACCATTGCTGAGGCTGGCTTTTAACTCAGTGATTCTCCTGTCTCAATCTCCCAAGGCACTGAGATTACAGGTGTGCACCACCATACCTGGCTTGTAGTTATTTATTTTAATATAACAAAATATATTGGTATTAGTCCCCATTTTCAGTTGCTACAACAAAATATCTAAAACCAGGTACTCATAAGGAAAAGAGATTTGTTTAGCTCACTGTTTTGGAGACTGAGAGTCCAAGATCAAGTGACCCTATTTTTGACCTCAGATGATGGCCCTGTGGCTGTGTCACAACATGGTGGAGAAGTAGGAAGATAAATGACTACATGTTACAATCATGATAAGTAACCACTTTCTAACAACCTACTCTTATGAAAACTCACTGAGATCCCTTGAGAATTGCATTATGATCCCCTCATGTACTACTTACCCCTCCAGAGGCCCCACCTATTGAAGGTCCCACCCATGGTCAACACTGCCACACTGAGGACAGAGCTTTGAGTCCATGACTTTTGGGAAACACATTTAAAATCATGGCAATATCTAATACATTTCAACACTTAAAAAATTATCAATGATATATTTTACATAACAAAAAAGTTGCTCAATGAGAAATCATCTTAYACTGCTTTAATATTAAAACTTCAAATTTAAAATAGTTAAATAAAATTGGAATTCCATTCCCCAGTCATACCAGCCATATTTCAAGTACTCAATTAACTGCATATGGTTAGTAGCTATATTTACTATACAATTAAATGGTAGACAGAGTGGTGCAGAAACACGTAGTGCTTAATTTATTGGGTACATAAATTAATGAGTAGGAAATGATTTAATTTTTAGTAAACATATATAAAACATGAATGAATTCCATTGTTTATCCAAGTGTGTTCCTAGGAAGTAGCATTAATAATAGAAAAAAAACACGAAAGTAAAAATAATACTTAGATTAATGGATGTCACAAGACCATTCTGTTTTGGCAAAAGTTGTGTTCCATATGCTTAAAGAAAATTATAATCCTGGGAAAAATTACCTCAGGGATGTCCCAACTCCCTCAAGATTTTGCTTCCTTATGCCTGTTGGGAGCTCTGTAAAACACAGTAAGGGAAAACTGGAGAAAAGGCTGTCACCCCTTTTTTGTGATAAGAGCAGATTATTACCACTCCTGCAGCCTTACTTTCATTTGAGCCTCTATTATATAAAAAAAAACTAAAATAAGTAAATAAACTCATATATTTATATACACATACGTAAACACAAGAGGAAAGAATGAAAATATAAAAAAGAATGAAAATGTAAATAGAATAAGAGATGGGAAATAAAATTTCAAAGGGAATATTCTAGAACCTAACTAAATAACCATAAGAATTTTAAAACAAAAAGAGCTTAGTTAAATTTGACTATATTTAAAAGTCATTTGACTTGAATTACAAAGATAAAAAAATCAAAAATATTTAAAACAAACTCTATGGAAAAAAGCTACAAATTTAACCAGTAAATATAGACTATTTCTATCACAATTATAATAGCTTACAGTTGTTCAGCACTTACCAAGTTTCTGGCACTGTATTCGCTCCTCTTTTCCACAACAAACCCTTGGGTAATACTCTCATTTTAGAAATGAGGAAATTGGGAATCAGTAGTTACCAGCATATCAACACTGCCAGGAAATGGAAGAGCTAAAATTAAAAGGTGAGAATATTTAGTATGATTTATTTTTTATAGAAATGTATGTTTTCTTAAAGGATGGTGTTATTGTTTGAAAGTATGAATCCCTCCAAAATTCACATGTTGAAACTTAAACCCTAATAGTATAGCATTAAGTAGTAGGGTCTTTGTGAGGTGATTAAATCCCAAGGGCAGAACCTATAAGTGGAATTAGTGATCTTATAAAAGGGTTGACTTTCAGGAACTTGATGTTTTGTTTTGTTTTGTTTTGTTTATCTGTTCATTACTTCCCCCATATAAGAACACAGCAGTCAAGCTGCCAACCTGGAAGCCAAGAGTGGACCCTCACTAAACAGCAAAATTCCCCACACTTCAATCTACAACTTCCAGTCTCCAGAACTATAAGAAGCAAATTTCTGTTCTTTATAAATTACACAGTCTCAGGTGTTTTGTTCTAGCAACATGAACTAAGACAAGCAGTTACACTCATAAAGAGGTAGAAACAAAAATCCATAAGAAAATACCTTCCTTCCTCAGAGCCCTGTCACACCCAGCATCCCCTTCAAAGAGCTAGTATATCCCAGTCAGCCAGAGATCCTTGCTCTTCCCTGAAGTTCCCCTCAGATATAAGGATTTTTGAGTGCAGAATTTACACATTCACATGAGATTATTCATAGGGGCAAGTAGGGATTTGGAGGAAAAGTCAACAGCTCAGTGGCTAACCTAAAGGCTGAGGATGCTGCTCAGTAGAACAAAGTGCTTGCCTAGGATGCAAAAGGTCCCAAGTTCAATCCCCAGTGCCACACACACACACACACACACACACACACACACACACTCACACAAAATATGTAACCCAAAACCCATGAGTGGCAATACTTTGTGCTTCCACCAATTTCCTAAGGACAAAATTTACCCAGTGCCAATAAGCCATACAAGCTAAACTCTATATGAGTGAAATTTAAATCTTAAATTAAAAAGAAAAAGAAAAATGGATCAAGATATGCAAGCAATACCCTGTCAGAAAAGAGGAGAGCAAAATGTTCACTATTCCTACAGAAAATAAATAGGCAAAACTTAACTCAGAAACAAAATCCACAGTAAGAAATATTTTTTTACCAACAACAACAATAACATTTAGTCAAAGTAAAATTTGACTACCAAGTATCACAATAGGTTTAGATCTTTTCTAATGTAAAATTTTGGTTCTTCTGCACGTTATCTAGTAGCATAACTTTTCTTACTTTGTGAATTTATATTTTTCTGGATATCTCTCTGATTTTTTTCTTTGCCTAAAGTAACCTCCCACATATATTTACTCAAGTTGTGTCTAAAATAAGTAATCAATATCAAATTAACCTTGGAATCTCTGTAGAAATGACATAGCTAGAGACCTAGAGCACTGTATCAGAGATAGATGGGCCTGGTTTCACCACCCTGGATAACATAAGGAGAGCATTCATATCCAAAGAGTATCCTAAAGTGCGTAGATGCCTCACTGTCTCTCTGTAATGTTTCTTCCATTTTGATAATTTTGTCAGAGCACACAGGCAATATTTTTTTTTCAAATTTGAACCTTATTTTGCATTTTTTGACCTGTCTTCCAAATAAATAAATGACTGTAACTTAGTATAATAATATTTTAAAAGAGGAAGAGGAATGAACTTCAGCCTCAATTCCACACAAATGTTGATAAGACTCCTTAAATTATATCAGAAAATCTAAAAGACTTTTTTCCTCAAMCTTCACTAGAAACAGAATTTTAAATAGAATCCCCAATTTGTTATTAAATAAGCAAGATGTAAATTATAAATGTATTCAAAACAAATAACTCATGAAAAATAAACTGCACTCTTAAAAAACTGTAAAATGAGATTCTGGATTGCTAACATAGCTTTTGCTGATCAGTAAGAAAAACTGAAAAAGCAACAAATTAGTCTATTTTCTATGCAATTTTTATTCTATGAAGGGAAAAAAACTTAATAAGCCAATATAAATATTCTAGATCAGCTTAGAAGGAACACATTTTAGCACATATGGTTGCAGTGGACTGTCATAGAATCATATATAATGGTATTTTTTGTTACATATGCATACATGCGTACAATGCAACCTGATAATTAGGTCAATATCATTCCCCAGTACTATGGCTTTCGCTCCCCTCTTCTCTACCTGCTGTTCTCCTTCCTTTTCTCTGCTGATCTCCCTTCAATTTTTATGAATTCTCTCTCTCTCTCTCTCTCTCTCTCTCTCTCTCTCTCTCTCTCACACACACACACACACACACACACACACACATCTTTCTTTTTCTTTATCCTTACTAGCTTCCAAATATGAGAGAAAACATATGACCCTTGACCTTTTGAATTTGACTTATTTTATTTAACATAATGTTCTAAAGTTCCATCTCTATATATGTCTGTATGTGTATTTGTGTGTGTACTCACACAAAGAGACAGATATAGATATATATTTAAAGGAATAAAGGAAATGTATCTATATAGATATATAGATAAATAGAGATATAGATAGATGGATAGATGTACATATACATTTTCTTTATTCCTTCATTCATTGATAGACACTTAGGCTAATTCCATAGTTTAGCTATTGTGAACTGTGCTGCTATAAACATGGATACACATGTACTACTCTAATATGCTGACTCTAATTCTTTTGAATGTATACAGAGTAATAATGGTGTAGCTGAATCATATAGTGGTTCTTCTTCTGGTCTTTTCAGGAACCTCCATATTGATTTCCACAGTGGTTGCACTAATTTACAATGCCCCCAACAGTATAAGAATGTTTATTTTTCTCCACACCATCACCAGCATTTATCATTGTTTGTATTCTTGATGACTGTAGTGAGATGAAATCTCAGAGTAGTTATCATTTGCTTTTACCTAATTGATAAATATGTTGAATGTTTTTCATATATTAGTTGGTCATTCTAATTTCTTCTTTGGAGAAGTGTCTGCTTAGTTCATTTTTCTATTTATTAATTGAGTTATTTGGGTATTTTGATGTTGTTTTTT